CCAATAAAGATAGTTTTGATGATGTTGTCCCATGTCTATGTAGAGAAACTTAAAGTGGATGAATGGCTATATCAACGTGTAACAATGAAGGCATTTAAATATAACTAAGTGTTATTTGAGTAGCTTAAAAATGATGTTGAGAAGCATTAAATATAGGTAAGAGGTTAAAGCTAAGTGAGGCCAACAAAAACACCTGAAAAAAATGTTAAGAGGGCATGCCATATAAGAAAACTTGGCCAGAAATTCACCAATGTTTTTAAGAAGTTCAATGAAGTGGATTTCAAATTTAGAAGATTAAAAAAAAAAAAAAACAACTACAAATGGAAATCTATCTTGCGATCTTAGTATATCTTTGCACATGAATCCTCCCTACATGACATCTTCGGAAATGCTTTCCAAAAACATATTAATTCTTTACGTATCTTGTTTCTACTTAGATGTTCCTATTCAAAACCTTATTGCTAAAAGATAATGCCTTGTATGCATGCACCGATGATGTTGTATGGGCCAACAAGTGCCTATTTCAGATAAAAATTTATTGTATGCACGCACCAATAATCTTGTATGGGCCAACAAGTACTTGTTTTAGATAAAAAATTTGCAACAATCCAATACCAAGTGAAACAACTTTATAACATCTTCATCTCCAAAAGAACTATATCAATTCACTACCTTTTATATGTTTTCATTCCAATTGTTGATCTTAACTACTATGTTGAAGTTTTCACATGTTTTCTGATCTTCAATATTATAATCCTATGAAAATCCTTGCATCTTTGAAATTATATGTGAATCCTACAAGTGATTGCCAGTCCTATCGACAACAATGATAGCATATTCAGTGTTATTTCTCCAAGGCCTTTATAGACCAGGTTCCAATCATGAAAGTTCTCAATCATCTCAGCAAAGACCTCAACAACATTCTCAACCACCCAAGGTTTCAAATTGTGTAAGAGTATTGAGTAGACGGGAATTGATGTATTTCTTGTTTGTGAGGTTAAACATAACCCTTGAAGTTTTTGAGGTATAGGTATCAAAATTAAACCATTAAATAAATCAAAAAATGAAATAATAAGTAGTATACTAGTTTTAAAATAATATATCAAAATAAGTTCATAAAAAATCTCTCATTACCCAATCCAACACAAACTAGAAGTATAAATCGCCAAGATTATAATTTACTAATTCAAAAGTCTCACCCACTTTCATAACTTAGAGGGTAGTCATTAGAATTATAATTAAAATTAATTACTTTCACTCTTATCCTCGCGAGTGTCAGCATTCTTCAAATCTTTGTCATTATTTTGGATTGCAACCATCTTCATCTTACAAGTCAACAAAATCCAAGAAAATATTAATTAAATTTTGAAATATGACTATATTGATGTGTCTAACTCCAGCTACATAAATTTTTATTCATCCTTAAATTAATTTCATTTACTTTAAGAAAAGAGTTGTTGGAAAATGTTTTTCAACAATACATTGGCTTATTCAGTCTAAAGAGTTATTATTTATTTCTAAATGACATAAGTTCAATGCACAGTTGAAAGTTAAAGAGCACGACACAGCCTCATTAAGAAGTATGCCTCATTTGGTCAAGGTGAGTTGTATGCCTCAAACATTTTTTTTTACATTGGGATCACAATTGCCTCTATAACTACATAATTTTAAAAATGCAGCCACATAATCAACTTTCTTAAAAACCTCTTCAACTTTCACGGCAATGTTCTCGAGTTTAATGTGGCTTCTTGACAGAGATCTTAATGTTTTTTTATTGCCTCTCTCAACAATAACATCTGTCTCTCAGCAAAAAACTATAAGCTACTTGTGTAATGTTTAATTTTTGTTTTTTTTTTGTTCGAGGTTTCATAAGCCGCTAATTTATATTGTAACTATTATTTTTTTTGGTGAAATTGTTATTTTGCTATTTCTTAGTTGTGATGGGGTTGATTTTTCTTAGGTGGTATCCTAAATCTACTACCAAAGTTTAACATTGAAAAAAAATGTTTAAACAAGCCCAATAATACGAATTGCACATACCAACAATCGCCAATAATATTTAGGTGACACAATCAAATCCAAAAGAATACCCATAAATAGCTTTCAACGGACTTTGGATCAAATGAAATGAAAACTACTATCTCTAGTTAAGATTAGCTAATTCCCGATTGCCAATTCTTGATCCATACAAGTGATTTAAACCTTACAATCACATAGTGGCAGCTCTTCTATCCTACCAATCCCTTGTCGGATACCCAAAGATACCCTAATGAGAACTATAATGGCTAGCAGTTACTTCTTTACTACTGCAATTTCTAAGAACCAAATAAACTAGTGTAAGTTGTATTAAGGATATGAAACTCTAGGCAAACAACTGGATCAATGGCACCTATTTGGCCAGAATTTTCCATCTGTTCCCTATTGATAATCATAAACAAAACAACAACTTAAATGTTCTCATGAAAAATAATTTAGCTAAAATAAGGGAGTTGGAAACAGAGAACCTAATACAGCTACTCTTAATACATAGTTCCTACTTCTAATGAATCCATTCAAGAACTTTGCAGACTACTGTGGATTACAGGTTATCACCACTTGAATGACTACAGATAAGGATTTTTCACTTACCTGAAATGCAATTAATCTTTTGCTGCAAAAAATTATTGCCTGCAAGAACTCCTCTCAATTTTTGTCACCAGAGGTCTTTCTTGTCACTGATACTGTTGCCACCTATCATGGATAACTACAAGGATGGTTACTCGAGTTTCAGCTATCTATTATGGTGGAGTGTTCCACTACAACCCTCAACGTCTCTCCAAATTTTGGGAATTTATGCTAAAGTAAGAAAATCTTTGCCAAATTTAAAATCCTGAAAACAAAATCACAAAAAATTTCCCTTTTTAACCAAGGGCATGATTATTTATAAGAAAACACATTAAATCATAGGCCAACTAATTACTAAACTGCTCCTAATAAAAATTTGACTAAACCACGTATATTAATTTAGGTGTAATTCAACAATAATAATGTTGGGTTATACCCGAGCTATATTAAATTTTAAAAAGTTCTTCGACAGGCTAGGTAATAGTCTTATGATGATATGTGGTATGGGTTTAATACAATCACTACTTCATGATAATCAATGAACTTACACAACCATACAAGGCATAGCTAAAGACTATGATAGAATATGATGCAAAATGAATAAAATAAGCAAATGAATGTTATATTCTAATTGATTTAAGGTGTTACCATTAGTACATATCACTAGCATAGCATATAGAATAAATTGACATTTGAAATTTTGGTTAAATTTTCCTTTAGTACAATGATTATATATAATGCACCAGACTAGCCAATAATCATGATCTTAATTTTATATATATGTACAAGTGCATGATGAGCACAACATTTTTTTCTTGGTATCTAAATTTTGTAATAGAATTACTATCTTACTAAACTGTAAGACTCGTTGGTTTATTATTATGACCATTGTTACATGTAGAAGTAAAAAGTTACTACCCAAAATTTTAATGCTTAATTGATGTAAAATGTGCATCATAATAAAGTGTCGATGTTATATATATGAATTATGATGTTTACTAAAAGCTTTTTAGCTCAATGGAATGAAATATTTTGAGATGTTTCCAAGCAATTGAATTATGATGTTTATTAAAAGCTTTGAAGCTCAATGAAATGAAATATTTTGAGATGTTTTTATGCAATTGAATTATGATGTTTACTCCTGACTCAGAGATCCAATATGTTAGAGAAAAATTTCAAAATGTCTATTATTGATAGATTCAATAGTGAGTATACATGTCTCTGTCGTCCTTTACGCTCAACTAGAAGGGATCACTGTGTTCATCAAAAACAGTTGAATTATATATAATTAGATAAAGTCAAAGAGGTACAATGTTGGTAAATTTAATAAAATAACAATTAATCTAATTAATTATATAAATTTAACTATTAGACATTATTGATATTGTTGACAAACAAATTGTAGTACCATAAATGACATAAATAAATAAATAAATCAAATTTGTTTAAAAAATTATAACCTAATTTTCACATCTCAACATCATCAAAACTAATTTTATAAAATTCAAGTATATTTTGATTAATTAATATATGTGTGTATGTGTGGGCGCGCACAAGCCTTCAACACTATCCCATGACCTAGGCAGAGCAAGAGCGAGGTGGAGCTCTAGAAGCAGCAAAGCAAAGAGCAATTGCTTTCAGCTAGGCATCTGGGAAGAAGAAACCAAAACATTGAATAGAAATTTGAAGGTGTTAAAGGTAATATATATATATATATATATATATATATATATATTTATCTAATATCAAAAAAAAAAATT